GGCTCCAAGATGGTCATGGTTCATGGGTAGACGCGGCCAGTGAGTGCGGTTAATGCCATCACACCTCACGCCTCACCCCTCGCATCCTTACGCGATATCCGTTACAAGGCTGCCACTCCAACCTCCACGGTTGCGCGGTGTGGTGGCTGGTAGAACTGAGCAGTAGCCGCCCCCATCCCAGCATTTATAGATGTTACCATACTTGCGGCGGCTCCTATGCCTTGGAAAAGAATACTTGAAATGATGTGTCATCTTGAAAGGTTTGCAGATAACGTCCCAGAAATCCATGTCGTCAGAACGCAGAGTGATTTGCTAGTTTGTCAGCATTCATTTTAGCAGGAAAACTCTGGTCACTTCAACTTTCCCTGTCATCAGCAGTCTTATTTTTTTAGCCATTGGTAGTTTTACTACAGTATTACAGTTGGGCATGAGTTGCCTCTGGTCCGGTTGGGGCACCACTTGTTATCTCCCTCACTTGGCACGCAGGAGGTCGTGAGTTGGATGTCGGCCATGACGATGCCTAGTGTATATTTGGAGTTTGCGTGTTTCATCTCCCCTGTGGTGGTTCGCATGGATACTTCTGTGATGATGATGATGCTGTAAGCCACTTCAATGAGCTGTCGTGTGTTTACGTGGTGGACTGAAAATTAACTCACAGCTCAGTGGACTTTAGTTTCCAATCAGAAACCTCGTACAGATCAAACAAAACAACAGATTACTCGGCTCTTCAACCCAAACACTCCTCCAGCCACCAAAAAGCAAACACCAAACCAATGGGCGACCAGATCATTCTCATATGCAGCACCAAACATCGGGAACAACTCCCCCGAGGCAATCCGCATGCTCGACTCCCATCGTCGCCGCATTCAATTCCCAACTCGACAGCAACAACACGTCTCTTGACGCTTGCATCCAACAACGAACTCACAGTCTAGAACTTGCTTTTAATCTTCTTTTAAACTGCAATAGTTGTTTTTTATGATTAATGATACACTTTGGGATGCTGATTTTGCATCAACCAAAAATAAATTGACTTGACCTTGGTGTTAGCTTTTAGTTTGGGTCCGCAAGGCCACGGGAAAGCGGTCTGCGGGAAATGTCAGCAAATACTGGAACTTGGAGTACATTTAGTCAAATATTATGTTTTTCTTGTAGCAAAACAAAGCAGCCCCCCCAAGTTACAGTACGGTGGGCAAGCATACTCGAACTGGGAGCTGTATCATTCGCGAGGCCCACAAGCCCGGCGCGATGAGCCATTTGAAGAACAGGAGGGGAACCCATGGAGAAGGGGGGGAGGGGATAGGAGCCCACTGACTGCCGCATTCACATGGGCATCGTGCTGGGGGGGTGAGCGAGGGGAAGTGAGTCGTTAAATGAGGGAGGGGTGAGAGGATGGAGGGAGATTGCGAACATGCAGGGAAAGAAAAGGGGAGGGGGGAACTTAGGGTAGTTTAATAAAAATGTAAATGTTGTTGGTGCATGGGAGTCTGTGAAATGTTAAGGGTTTAAATTTCGATTTAAAGCTTTCGGACTGCAGGGATTCATCTTCTTGGTTCTTTCGGTAAAGTCACGTAGAAGGGAAGTAATAAAATAATAAAATAAAACATAATAAATAATTCTCACGACGTTTCGGCCACAACGCAAGCAGCCGTCCTCAGGTGAAGACCAGGTCTGTCGGGGAGACATTCAGACGCTGTCTCCCCGACAGACCTGGTCTTGACCTGAGGACGGCTGCTTGCGTTGTGGCCGAACGTCGTGAGAATTATTTTTATTATGTTTTATTTATTATTTTATTACTTCCCTTCTACGTGATTTTACCGAAAGAACCAAGAAGATGTTAAGGGTTGACAAAGCGACGGGGCTTCATGCTCGTTTCAGCTGCAATTGCGTGGCTGTGGTTTCCAGTGGGCAACAAAACTCGATGCACGCTTGTTTTCTCGCGTGCAAGGGTCCAAATTGTTCAGCCACGTATCCTTTTGGAGAGATAATGCAACACAGTTGTTGGGATTGCATCCGCACATCTTATCTTACTCTATGATGCAATTATTGTAGAGTAGAGTTTGGTAAATAATACACGTTATGTATTATTATGTAATACATATCAAAAAATAGTTCACGTAATTTGACATTTTAGCTGTGAAAAGTAACAGATATTGGTTTGACTGCTGTGCATTAGTGCATTGGTGCATTGCAGGGCATGTGGGAAAACATTCCCCTGTAGTATTATGTGGATTAAGAAGTTGCTTTAATGGATATATCAGAACTAGTTATGTGACGTCTCATTCCACGGGCCATTCTCAAGCACGCAGGGTCATGTGTTGCTCTGAATAAAAAAAGACAAACACAAAAAACCCTCAAATGTGCTCCAGTAACCTCTCACCTTTGGCGTGGTATGCGTACACATGTGGTGTGTGTGTGTGCCCTTTGTAATGTTTGGCCGTGGCTAATGCTCTCCACAGCAATATCAGTCCTGCACTGTTGAAGCTGGCCATTGTCTCGGAACGAAATAATCATGGACAGGGCCTCTTGCCTGATACTCGGAGGACAGTCATAACTGTGGGCGTATGTACGATGTATGTGTTTGGGGGGAGCAGTCGTGTCGCGCGCTGCACTACGAACCCGGCAACCCGAGTTTCGATTCCCGTTCACGGCCAACACCAGTGACGATTTTGTGAACCGGACCTGGGCCTCTCCTAGGTCGACTCAGTCTCAAACGAATACCTCGTGTGCAGTGCCGGCCTTCGCAGGTGCTCGTTAACAGCACTTGCACCCCACAGTCTGTTAAGGCAGTACGGGGGATCTTTGTCTTTCTTGTGGTTAGTCTGCTGCACGATTAACCCGGTGACTTGAGCATTGAACTTCTTTCGCACCCTACGTAGCCAACCGTACCAATCGGATTGCTGCATTTGCTCCCCCTACCCCCCCAGGCCTGACGGTGCACGTGGACAAGCGCATGACGCTGGCAGCGTTCAAGCGCCACCTGGAGCCCGTGGTGGGGGTGTCCTCCAGCCAGTTCAAGGTCTTCCGCGTCTACGCCAACAACCAGGAGTTTGAGAGCGTGCGTCTCAACGAGACCCTCTCCTCCTTCTCCGACGACAACCGGGTGAGCGCGCGAAACCTGTCCGCCCGGCGACGGGTATATACATAAAGTTCACACGTCAAAGTAAGTACGTACATTCAGAGATACAAACATTTAAGGGCATAAATGATGAAGTACGCACATTTAAGTACATGAAGTACGCTTCCGCGCACTCGTGCCTCGCAGCAAGAAAGGGTTCGGGATTCGATTGTCGACTCGGGCGCCTGTATGCGTAGCGTTGGTATTTGTTCTCTCCCCCTTGTCTATGGGGTTTCCCCCTCAGGTTCTGGTTTGCTCCCACAGTAAAAATAAAATGTAATGTAAAAAACGTTCAACGGAATAAGTATTGGGCCAAACATCCCAGTGATGAAAATAGACCTGCAAATTATTGAATTGGGATTGCACACATAACAACATTGCCCCCCCCCCCCCACCCAAATTATTGAATTGGGATTGCACACATAACAACATTGCCCCCCCCCCCCCACCCAAATTATTGAATTGGGATTGCACACATAACAACATTGCCCCCCCCCCCACCCAAATTATTGAATTGGGATTGCACACATAACAACATTGCCCCCCCCCCACCCAAATTATTGAATTGGGATTGCACACATAACAACATTGCCCCCCCCCCCACCCAAATTATTGAATTGGGATTGCACACATAACAACATTGCCCCCCCCCCCACCCAAATTATTGAATTGGGATTGCACACATAACAACATTGCCCCCCCCCCCACCCAAATTATTGAATTGGGATTGCACACATAACAACATTGCCCCCCCCCCCCCCACCCAAATTATTGAATTGGTGTTGCACACATAACAACATTGCCCCCCCCCCCCCCCCCACCCAATTACTGGGAAAACTGGGCAGGATCCTCCCAAAATAGTCTTGAAGACTCGGTGAGGCTTCTCTGATGCAAACTAGCGTATGAATAAAAGTAGCGCACTGTTATGACGAGTCACGTGTATAATCACTTATTATACTGGTAGGAACCACCTGGTTCCACCAGCCCACAGGAGATTATTGTGTCCGTCCGTCGTGCATCAAAAAATGGGAGGGGTCGAACTTTGTGGGGAGGGGCTGGGTGGGGAGGGAGGGTGGGGAGGGGCTGGGTGGGAGGGGTGGGGCTGGGTGGGGAGGGGCTGGTCACCCCGTGGTGCCCTTATAAAACTCAACGTTTAACCTACTCACGCCGGCTTGTGCCCACCCTCAGTCGGCCATATTTGCGGAATACACCACGCCGCCGTTGACCCTGGCCATTGACCGAGCAACCCAACGTTCCTACCAGCTCCCTCCGCAGGAATGTGTTGATCGTGCAATGAAGCGGTCTTCAATGAGTCGTGAAACCACTTTGCCACCGTATTGGCTGTGTTCTTATAATCAAGGTTCAGGTGTCATCAATATATATAACTACATACCTGTAAATATGTTTCCGTTGCTGATACCCACAGCCATCGCAGGCATACGTTCCTATCTTCTTTTTACCATTGTATAGTCTTGTTTGGCTCTGCTTATTTCTATGCATAGATTCTCTATAGCGACATCTTTTATGACGCGACACATCATTTGTACGTGGAGAGGTTGTGATGTGGCTACTGTACTTGACTCATGATTGTGGAAGGTCACTTTGTTCAAATCCAGGCCTGTGGTCGAATCCACTGGTCGTCTCACCGTTGCCTTTTAAATATTGTTGGGAGGACAACGGTAGCCGTGGAAATTTCCACTTCTCACTACCGGAGGGCTGCACATAATACTGGCCGGGCTTTTGTATGAGTAGACTAGCTGTACTACCCGGCTTCGCCCGGGACTTGTATCCACCACGGCCGGCCGCCTTTGTCTCCCCAGTGGCGATGTTAATACGCTACAGCAGTTACTCGTTTGAGGCAGAGTCGACCTAGGGGAGGTTCAAATAATCGTCACCGGTGGTGGTCGTGAGCGGGAATGGAACTGGGTTCGCCGGGTTGGTAGCGCAGCGTAGCGTTAAGCACTACACCCACCGCTTCTCACACACCACACACACACAGAGACACACACATAGACACACGCAGACACACACAGACAGAGACACACACACACACAGACAGCACGCTAACTACTACACTACCGCTCCCCACACACCACACACGCACACACACAGACACACACACAGACACACACACAGACACACACACAGACACACACACAGACACACACACAGACACACACACACAGACACACACACACAGACACAGGCAGCACGCTAAGCACTACACTACCGTTCCCCCTACACAACACACGCGCGCGCGCGTCCATAGGTACACATACACGCGCTTGCTGCAGACACACACGACTTTCAGGGTGCGTACGGCAGTAAACGACTGAAATAATAAAGCGGCAATGCTGCGCAAGGAACTCCTTAGACCTGCAACACATTTGTGTAATGCGAGCGTAAACACACAAACACATACAAACACATACACAATACACACACACATACATGCAGACACACAGACAGACACATAACACACATACATACACACACATACATACACAGAAACACATACACACACATACATAGACACACACATACATACACACAAACACATGCACACACGTACATACATACATACAGACACGCAGACATACACATAAAGACATACACACATACACATGACCCGGCTTCGCCCGGGACTTGGATCCACGATGCCCGGCCGCCTTTGTCTCCCCAGTGACGATGTTCACACACGACAGCAGTTACGCGTTTGAGGCTGAGTGGACCTAGGGGAGGGCCAGGTCCGTTTCAAATAATCGTCAGCGGTGGTGGGCGTGAGTTGGAATCGAACTGGGGTCGCTCAACCAGCTTAATGACTATTTGTACAAAGAACATATAAAGAATCGATTATAATAACCAGGCTACAGTCCACATTATAGACTGCCAGTACACGCAGTCAGCTTCGTAAGCAGGCTAGAGTGTACATGATAGAGTGGCAGTACGCTCACCGAGCTTAATAAGCAGGCTACAGTCTACATGATAGACTGGCAGTACGCTGACCCAGCTTAATGACTATTTGTACAGTGAACATTTAAGTAATTGATTGTTGGCGCGTTGGGTTTAAAAGTAATATAAATTGCACACATTGTGGTGGGGGTGGAGTGAAGAGTAGGAAACACTTTGATGAATTTACCTCAGAGTGGCGTGGTGGGTGTCGAGGCCTAGTAGCGTGCAGAGCCTGCGGCCTCGCCAAAATTGTCCACCCGGCAGAGGCAGGGTACGGGTGGCGTGCCTTCCCCCCCCCTAGCGCTCCAACAATACTGTGTAATGGCTATTATTTAATTATTTACGGAGCCTATGAAAGTGGCGAAGGCGTGGCTAGCCGTTGGCAGGGGCAACCGCCGTCCAATGAAACTGCAGCCCTTGGCGAAGGCGTCGCTAGCCGTTGCCAGGTCCAATGAAAGCGGCGAAGGCGTCGCTAGCCGTTGCCAGGGGCAACCGCCGTCCAATGAAAGTGCGTATGGTCCGAAATCCACACACACACAGACGGACAGACAGACATTCACGATTTTATATATATAGATGTTGATGTAAGTTGTGGTTGCTGTACAGTAAATAACCTCCACAATGCCTCTCCATTTATAGCATTGTAATCCAAAAGCTAAGATTGTTACATATGAAAATAAATTCACAAGCCCACATTCTGATTTCATCTTGTAATACTATGTATATGATCTTACAATGCCATAACTGACCAGGTTGAAATATTTATGTTGAAAGTACAGTAAACATGTCCTTTTCTTTTAATAGCACTTTGCTGACTGAAAATGCAGCTGTGTTTATAGTTGTGTTCAGCTTGTTGACTCCAAGGACAGTCATTAATCTAGAGGGCATTTGAGTCACATTTATTTAAATAATTATTTATTGAGATGGCTGTGGGGTGGCTTAGGTCACAGCAACTGAGTTTGCACTACTGCCCACCTGGGTTCGAATCCAGTTGGCTGCTCATGATTCAACCTGGTTCTCGAGTGTCGTTGGCTTGGTGGCCTCAGCCCGATCACCGATGGCTGTGCAAACAACACCCACCAGGTTAAATTTGGTCCCCACATAAGTTGGCGAAATTACAGCCGTGCTAATTAATATATTTGTTTGACTCTCATACAAAGAGCATTACTCTCGCATGACAGTGGGTGGGAAAGTATGGATGCGATTGTTACATGCATGATGCGGGTGAAGGATAACAAACTAAATGCAGAGCATACTATGAGACCTCCTTTACCAGTAGCAAAATATAGTAATAGGTTTTTACCCTTTCTACTGGTACAAAAACTGACACCTTTATACAAATGCTTACCCCGAGCTTTCAATACTCTGATAGTGCGCTGTCTTTTAGTTTTCACGCCTTTTGGTGTCATTTGGTCCAACACCAATGGAGACTAGGCTCTAAGAAAAGCTGACTCGGGTGTGGACCAATCAACTTCAAGGACAGTGCATATCATTATCATCATCAGAGTTGTTTCTTTTTGTTTGCATTTTGACTGCTTGTGTTGTGATTATTGCAAACATGATGCCTTGTATAAAGGTGTCAGTTATTGTACCATTTGAAAGGGTAAAAACCTATTACTATAAACGCAGAGCGTTAAAAAATTGTCAATACAAGTAATTGCAATTTCAGGCTAGAAATAGTGAGACTTGTCCAGATCTCGTGAACACTTTTGGATATTGTGCCCTGTAAGGCTTACACGTCTCGCTTGTGCCCGTGGATGCGTGCGTGCGTGCGTGCGTGCGTGTGGTTGACGGTGTGCGTGGCGCGTGCAGGTAACCATTCGGCTGGGCCGCGCTCTTAGAAAAGGGGAGTACCGCGTGAAGGTTTACCAGCTGCTGCTCAAGGAGCCCGAGGTGAGTGGTGACGCCCGTGTGTCTTGTGAGGTCCTGTCAACATCGCAACAACAAGTGGACACGATAAGTGAACAGGCAACCGTTGGAAATCAGGGGGAAGAGAGGGGTCAAGCTAATAGGGCAGAACAGCCTAGCCTACTTGTAACCTGAAACAAAATAGCTTACCCCTTGAGTCTAACCCTAACCTCACCACTGGTTTTAATTTTCACTTTTGGTCGTCTCAGTACGACGGATGTTAGCTTGCACATTCGGTAGACTGGCAATCTGTATGTACTGTCTGTTGACGTGTCATGCCGCCGGTTTGACATAGCCGTGTGAGAGCAGCGTGGTTTAAAAGATAAGAACAACGTTACTTTAGAACAGGGATCGGCAACCTGCAGCTCCAGAGCCGCATGCGGCTCTTTAAGGACTGCCGCTTCGTGGACGTTGTTCATGAAGGACCACGTCTCGTATTCACGTGCATTGCAACTCTTGAAATATGCCTCTTCTTTTTATTGTGGTTGCCGACCACTGCTTTAGAAGTAGGTCCAGTAGTCGGTTCAAATGGGCGAATCATTGACGTCTTATTTTTCTGCCAGTGGCAGTAATAAAAATCGATGTGATTTTGATTAACCTTTGTATTTTATAATTTCACTGCAGCAGAAAATGTTTACAGTAGCAACGTTACAGCCACGTAAGGATGATATGTCAGACATTTCTGAGCTAAACAAGATATATTGGGGATAAGTTGCCACCTATATTATTTAAAATAATTGATGTATATTCCGGTCATGATCGATATGTACCTTTGTAAATGCCGAGGCAGCCTAAAAAAAATAGATTGTTTACATATAGCAGCACCCTTTATCTAAATTGCCTCTCACAATCGCTGAGGAACCCCAGACAGGCTGGAAGCCAGCAGCCAGGTGGCAAGCTGGCACTACCAACAGTTGTCCAAGCTCTGCAGTCCTGTATGTTTGTAGAACTTCTTTTGCACCGTACGTAGCCAACCGTGCAAATCGGAGGTGTGGGGCAAGACAATAAACTGAGGAACAAAAGCAGTTCTAAATAAATGAGACGTTTTCAGGCAATCTAGATTGAATCAATGAGTGATTGTGCATTGTTGGTGCGTTTTTCTTTATCAAAACATTGATCAACGGCAATACAAAAATTATATATTTACACGGCTGCTGCTCGCTCGCTTGCTGGCCACTGACTTGGTGCCCGCATTGTCAGGGCAAGTGAACCAACAATACATAATAACACTGGATGACATCTTCTATATATTCACTGCCCATTCTACTCGACTCACTTTTCCTAATTTTCATGTTGTTTCTCATGATCCGCATATTTGTTTTGTCCTGACCACCTACCGTCCATTCCATTACGCTGGATATTCGAGATCTGACTGTAATCGTGTGCAATGTGTGCTGCAATGCCCTCTACCCTAGCCATGCAAGTTCCTCCTGGACACCGTATTTGCCAAGGGCATGTCCGTACGGCAATCCAAGGAGGAGCTGCTGCCACAGCTGCAGCAGCAGTGTGCACTGCACCTGAACATTGACAGGTGAGTGTGCTCGGCTCACCGCTGCCCCTGAACCTGGGTGTTGAGGTGACGGAAAGACAGATAATGCCCTTTAACAGACTGTCGGGGTCTACTGCTGTTCACGAAGATCACATATGTAGGCCGGCACGTTACGAGAATGGGGTGGGTGACCAACCTTCCACACCCGGCCGCCTTTGTCTCCCCAGTGTTGATGTTTACACACTGCACCAGGGACTCATTTAAGGCTGAGTCGACCTAAGGGGAGGCCCAAGATCGGTTCAAATATGCGCCGTTTTTATTGGTCGTGAGCGGGAATTTAACTCGGTTTGCCCGGGTTCGTTGCGCAGCTTTGCGCCGCCGTTCCCCACAACTGGCACGCATCTATTCACGTGCCTCTCAGCTGATGGCAATAACGTGCAATACGAGCAGACATTGGTACCATCAACAACAAACGCCATTCGCCACTAAGTGGCGGTGATGTCACCACGGCGCTTGTGCCAGGCTATGTGCACTTTTGAGGTTATGTGAAGTCTCACAGGCGTTTGGACAGGCAAAACTAACTTTTAATCAAAACTTCAAAAATCCAGCTTTCAACCCGTCAATTCCAAGCCGTAGCTTGGTGACGTTGGGGCGGAGGGGGGGGGGGAGGTGGCTAAGTGTGCGCGTGTGTCCAACTTTGGTCAGGTTCCGTTTGCGGAAGAAAACGTGGAAAAATCCCGGGACGATCTTCTTGGACACGCAGACCTACGAAGACGACATCCCCATCTTCAGCAATTGGGAAGTGTTTCTCGAACTTCTGGAAGGTAATCATCATTATTTTTCTCCTCTTGGTATTTGCGCCATTATTAAAACGCAACGATATCACGAAGACGCCGTTTCACCGACAGGTATAGCCTGTCCATAGGGGCTGTTATTGATTTGCGATTTTACCAAATGAATGAATTTACGATACTTTTTCATATTTGCTAATTGTGGATTATGACGCCGATACGTGGCCTCGTCTTTTTTTCCCGACGAACGTCACCGCATCTTCTGGTGAATAGACGCGTCGCATTAACCAGGGTGGCTACGGGCGGCTCATGAACCGCGAACGGCTGCAACAAGCGGGCGAGCGGCGCGCCGCTGTGCGGCCACGTCACCTCGGTGCCGGTTTGATGCGGTAACGAGTGTGTGTGTCTCCCACAGCTCCAGAGCGTATGGTGTGCATGTCCCAGCTGGCTGTGCTAGCGCGACGCTGGAAGCCTTCGACGCTGGTGCTGGAGCCGTTCGAGGAGGTTGTCCTGGAGAGCAACAGCGTGGATGAGCTCAAGGAAAAGGTGCAGCTTGTGTTTAAGGGGGGGCAGGGATGGAAACCCATTGTGTGTGTGTGTGCCCCAAGGTCCTGGCTATCTGTGGGCAGATCCACAAATGAGGCAATCTCAAAGTAAAAACAAAAAAAATAACACGTGGTGTCCTTTTAAAGGTCATGATCAATAGTCTGTTAAAATATGGCTTGCTATTGATTTGACGCATGATGGCTAACCAACACCATCCCAACGTGGATAAAAAAAGTCATCCCGAGTACGTCCGACACCATGGAACAGAAAGTCCGGCACTTTACCATCCGGAGTGCTCTACTAACCGGCAAGTGTTATAGACGGCGACAGCAGAGAACCGCCATGAGGCTGTGTAACAAGTACAACTCTCGATAACCGGCGTATTTGATTAACCGCCACCCTCCATTCCCCATGGATGGCTAGTTAAGAAAGCTCTGTGCTCTATTTTGTGGCCAATTCTCCATTGCCAAATGAACATAGGACACATTGTTTAAATGCTCAAGTAATTTTCCACTTTATGCTTATACCTATACCACCACTTGCCTCTTCAAAGTATCCGAAATCTACACGCCCGGAGCGTACGTCTAAAGTTTACACACCCGCCGTCCTCCCCCTTCCCCCCACCCCCCTTGTCTGCATTGTCGGCTGGTGTAAATGTTACCCGTGATAACGTAGCCCGAGAAAAAAAATCTCCACGGAGTTTGGCATCAAACGGTAAAATGAGTTGCTTAACAATCCCCTCGGCGTGCGCGTGGCGCGCTGCTCAAAGGCGCTCGCGTCGCGAGCGCGAAAAGGTCGCGAGGTCAAACAGCTGCGTGCGGCGTCAACTAGCATCTTCAATCGGTGCTAGCGGTGTTTGAACGCTTCCTCCTGTTGGGTCTCGATAGAGAGGATGCTTTTATGAAGTTAAATATTTGTTGAGAACCCCCGATGACGTCCCTCAATGGAATAACTTTGTATATTGGTGTATTTTCTTATCTTTTTCAGCTCGGTAAACTTGGTCAGATTTCTCCAGAAGATGTTGAATTTGCAAAGGTGAGAACTCTTTCCGGTGTAAAACGGGGGGGAAATCTGCCGCCAAGTTTTCCAATACTCACGCGGGAAAACGGTTCTACCCATGAGCTCGATACCACCGGATTTCCAGTTGTCATTTGTTCAGTTAGAATTGTTTGCCAAGTTGATAGGATTGATAAAAAAAAAATGTCATTGCATAAAATACTTGACCAGGATATGAAATGATGCGTTGAACATTTTCCTCCAGCAATTACGATGCAATGAATGTGACATAGAAATGACATACTCCCATGTCGTCTTCTTCCCTGCCTTCAGCAACCGGCACTGACCAGCAGTGGATTTACAAAAGGGCTGTGCAGCAAACCCTTGATATTCGCGCGTTTTATAAATCGCGGTTTTGCGTTATTCGCGGGTGCTGTGTTTTAAATATTCGCGGCCATAGCTCGCGACCACCCAACGAGAAGTACAGTAGTGTACGTACTGGGGTGAGGCATGGATCGTGAGGCCGTGAAAGTTGCCCCACTCGCGATGTCTGCCACACTGCTGACGCGCGCGACTGCTCTCCTTGACGATTTGTTTTGAATTTCGTACTAGATACTAATTATATGCTCATGTTAATTTTTTATTCGTCGATATTTGCACTTTTCAATGTCTGTGCATCATTATTAAAGGCACGTTAAATCACACAATACTATACAATACATGTATTCATTAATATATACATAGAGCTTTACATTTTATTTTTAAACCTAATATATGTTTGTGTCCCTTAACCCTATTTTCCTCATTAGCTTTAAATATTAATATTTGCAACATTCTCCAGGAGCATGTCCCTGCAAATATTAAGGGTTTACTGTGCATGTATATGTCAAACCTTTTTCCTTTGGGAGACTGGCACTCGCAACTGCCATGGGATTGTGTAATTGACTGCTGAATCATTGGCACAGACATATCCTCATGGTGGTTTGCATGTGTTGAACTCTTTTGGCTCCGTACTTAGCCAACCGTGCTAATCGGAGGTTGGGGGGAGGGGAAGAACAACAAACTAAACACATGAAGCAGTTCTAAAGAAATTAGTTTTCAATTTAGATTTTAAAATGTCAAGCTCCAGTGGCTTCCTAATATCGGAAAGAAGAGCTTTGCAGATGGCCGCAGAAGCACATATCTGAAAGTGCGCGATGCAGTGACAGTGTTTGTTCGACGGTTAGCCTAAAGCCGCTGCTGCGAGGATGACCGGAGTTCACGTGACGGTTCATTTTGAGCCAAGAACCTTGTGTGGTCTTCTTGGTTCTTTCGGTAAAGCCACGTAGAAGGGAAATAATAAAATAATAAAAATTAAACATAATCAAATAAGTCTGTCTTTCAGACCTGTTCTTCACCTTAGGATGGCTGCTTGCGTTGTGGCCGAAACGTCGTGAGAATTATTTTATTATGTTTTATTTTTAGTTTATTATTTCCCTTCTACGTGACTCTACCGAAAGTACCAAGAAGATGAATCCCTGCAGTCACGAAAGCTTTAAATCGAAATTTAACCTTGTGTGGTTTGAGCAGAGCGGCCACTTCACTTTGTTTCCCTTCTACCGAGGCTCGTAGTAATTTAAATGTAAGGAAGACCCTTTGCCTGTGGCTGTCGAAACCGCATCCTTCAGCAGCGCGCGGTGTGTTGTGGGAACAGGGCCGCGGGACGTTCCCATGCGACATCTCTGTGCTCGAGATTCACCAGGACCTGGACTGGAACCCTAAGGTGACCACACTCAATGTGTGGCCACTCTACATCTGCGACGATGGAGCTGTTGTCTTCTACAGGTAACCTTGCCCCCCCCCGTGTGGTGGGCAAACAATTTGTTTGTCGTTTTATATCAGTTACCTAAACAATTCGGTCTAGTTTCACGGCAGTGCGGCAGATGAAATCTTCCTGTTAAAAAAAAATGTCGATCACTTCTCATTGCCCGGTTTGTGGCTACAGTGTTTAGTCCCTTCATGAGGACAGATTCAAATTCCCCTCCATGCGCTGGCCTCCGTAGATGAACATGGAGTTCCACCGCATGCATTGGTGCCTCGGTAGCGAGATGTTAACGACCTTACCTGGTGGTATATAGGAGGTTGTGGATACTATCCCTATCCTGTGCTCGTGTGGATTTTTCGCCGAGTCCTCCGGTTTTCCCCTCCACATTTAGAATCAACGTGCCTTTCGAGTATTTGGCTGCAATAAATACCCACGTGATAAGCCACTTGGTTGAGCTATCATTTGTGGCCAGGTCGCTTCTGAAAAGAGCTACATAGCCACAGTGGGCCTTACCTGGTAAAATAAAAATAATTTGCTTTTCTTCGCCAACGGCTCCCACCTCTCAAATCGAAGCGAGGGGCCTCGTGCACGGTTTGATACCACTAGAGGGCGCTAGTGCTGCGTGCCTGAATGTGATAAGGTTGTGACTTGGTGGACCGTGGTGAATTTACACCCCCTCCTACCTAATACCGAATCCCACATCTTCACGGCAAACATTTGATTACAAATACGCATTGGCTCCAAGCACAGGACATGTGTTATGTCTTGCCTGTAACTTCTGCGCTACTGCTCACCCGTATAGTCATATCTTACACCTGCGATAAGTCACACTCACAGGCGAGATAAAATAGTGAACGAGGAGGGATCGCTGCCCCAAAAGTGTCGCCATATGGTCTCCTTGGGCCTGGATGGCTACTTTCTATTCCAGCTTCCAATCGCACTCAGTGCTGCTTAACATCAGTGGAGTCTCGGACGAACGTACAATTTAGTCGAACGTCCCTTTAAATCAGAGCGAGGTGTTTTTGCATGCTATGTGTGCCAACAGGCAGTACCTATGCCGTTGCCCTTTCCCCGCTATCCGATTAGCACGGTTGGCTACGTACGGTGCGAAAAAGTTCAACAAACTTACGCACGCGACAAATGCTACCATCGTAGCTTTACCGTTGTCTGCACGCGCCGTCACCACCGTCGACGCTGATCATTCCCCGTGTTGTCGTCGCCGGTGCCGCCGTAGGAATCGCGACGAGGCCATCCAGGAGCTGTCGGACGAGCAGCGCAGCGAGCTGCAGAAGAAGGAGAGCATGCGGCTGCAGCGGACGGGGGGCCAGCAGGTGCCGTACTCGCCGCGCAAGGAGAAGGCCCTCAAGATCTACGTGGACGGCGGGGTCACGCGAGAGTAGTGCCCGGCCGCTGCCGGCGCCCGACCCGGCTTGGCTTGAAACTCGACGACGCAGACCCAGGGGGAGCAGGCCTGGCGCGGCGCCGATTGCCTTTGCGGGGACGGCATGGCAAGCGCGGACATGGTTGGGGTGCTCATTCGCCACGAAAGGGAGAGATGGGAAGGAGGAGGAGCAGCAGGGGAGGCGTGTAGCTGTGGAGGACTGTACCAGGCCCCCCCTTTCTTTTCCAAGAAATTGTTTGGGTTTTATTTCAACTTGGCTCGGTTGTTTACGTTACGCTTTGGTGGCCACGCAAAACATTTGTCCCGACGTGATTTCTTGTATTCGGTAACTGACGCTAGATTTGGCACCAACATACGTTGCGTCTGATTTTTCTTTGTACCGCATCTGAGGGTTGAGATCTTGACTAGAAGGCAAAAAGCTGCTACCCTTTTCAAATGTGACGCGTGTGACCGAAGTTGATTGAAGGCATGGATTTAAATGGTAAGTGAAATTGGCATGTTTGTTTCTTTTGTCCATGTGCATATACAATCATCTCGCATATACAGTAGCAACCGATTCGTTTGAACATTAAAACAGTATCCTTTCATGAACCTACGGCTGCTCTCTATTTTGAGCTTTTTAAACGTCCGAGAACGATGTTCACATGCATCTGCAATGGGTCGTAAGTCACGTGCTGAAAACCCAATGGAATAACATTTGCCACTGTGCTAGTAATGCTGAACATTCAGTCCAGCCTTGTTTTGGGACTACTACCGCACTGTAAATGAAACTGCGCACGGCATTTCACCATCTCATGTAACCCAGAAGTATGACCGTTTAAACATGTGTCATATGTTACAGGACATTGCACGGTCACTGGTTTGTGGAAACCCTTTGTGAGATTTGTAATTACGAGGCAATGAGACAACACTGAAATGCTGCTACATGCAGAACGAGAGCTTAGCTCATGCTTTGTTCATTATTGATTACAAGTCTTTGTTTTACCCCTCTTTGAGTTAAATTTTGCTCTGTTGTGTTCCCCCACCCCCCATAAGAAGGTACAATGTGGTTTTGGTTGTGACTGCTGATTGCCTGGCATCTCGCGTTGTATTTAACTTAAGCGCTCGTGTAATTACTGGTGTTTATGACTTCTGGTTTCAACGACTTGGCAGCAGTCGTCGATATTAGATGAATAAAGAGCAACATGTGGATGAAATAACCTGGAAAATAAAATGGTGTCACTCTGCCATTTTATTTGCTATACAATAAACAGTATCAATGAAAAATTAGCGAGTTTCCTTTCAAGCGTCGTTTTTTTTACTCGCAAATGCAGCGCAGCTGTTAAACATAAAAACACCTCGATGAGAGAAGCCTTGATTCACGGAGCTTGAGAAACAGCGGCGGGCACAACAAATGCGAAAGCTTGCAAGCTCAGTTTTTGAGTATCTTCATCTTCTGATGCCGTTACAGAGCTGGAGACCCACCGCGGACACGCCAAATGCAAAAGCTTGCGGCTCACTCTGAGAATCTTCGTATTCCGATACAGTTTTTTTAATGAAGCGAGGTATTTTTGCTACACCTTGCTCTTTACCCACGCAAGGTTTCTGAAGGGCCACAGCTGTGGAGGACAGACATCGTAGGTTGGGCTCAGACTTATGAACCACAACACGAATTCTATCTTCTCATTAACACTGCCGTAGAGCATCAATGTATATATGATGCACTCACATTGATACATGTGTAGTGGGTTCCACGGAGACTGGAGACGTCTTTTAGAGGCAACACGGTTTATTATAATCTTAAACAAGAACTCCCCTTAACTCCCACTACCTCGGGAGGTCCAGCCTCTGGGCTAGCGTGCCCTCACACTGGGATTCCTGGCTCTCAGCCCTCCACCTAGCAGTGCCCTAGGGGAGGCTCAACTGACCCGGGTCTCGACCACTGGTCCACGCTCGGCCCCAGCCCTTACAAGGACGTCGGGTCCCGGGGTCCCAGGGTCCTAGCCTAGCTGGTCTTCGGTTCTTCGACTTCAGAGCACTGCCCTGAGCCGACCTGAGAGCCGCCTTTTATACACCGCTCGGGGTCTCTCGACCTCTGGTACCGCCCCCTTTCTGGAACCTTCCAGTGGGCTCTGGAAGAACTCCCCAACCCCTCACCTGGGGTCGGGAGGGGGGGAGAACCCGGCCCCTCAACGGTCCGGCTCCCTCCGTCTCTCCCCAGGTCAGGGTGGCACCCCCTATGGGCCTGTGCCCGCACCTACAGGTAAGTAGACACCGGGCGGTGTGTGTGTTATGTATTTCGGTCGGTACTGTCTCCATCGTTATTTGAACCGCAGACAGCGAGTTCACCAGGGGGGCCATTCCTACTCTGCCCTCTCACCCCCTCCATACCTCTGGACACCCTTCTCAGTCAGCCTCTTCAAGAGGAGTCCTCACTCAAGTTAATCTTCCTCGCGTAAAACGTTTCAATTGGGCCTTTTGCTCGTCTGTCTTAGGTGGTTCTGCCTTTGATGATCTACCCAGCTACAGCCATGGGGCTTTCACCAGGGTTCAACATATCTTCAGCAGCCACTTGTGTCCATGAATTAGCTTGGTGTTTCCTACGCTCGCACACTTTGAATTAGCTGTCACCAATGAGCTGATCTCAGACTTGCCTACCTTAGGCCTGTTACGCGTTGGGGGGGTTTGTCCTCCGTGAGACGATTATAACCACTCAAAATCAATCTAGATGTCCTACCAGGCAGCACGGCGGAATTGTCAAAGTTCTCCAAGGCCACTGGGTGAAATATTAACGATCGTGATCAAGAGTTTGGTGGTTCTTGGTAGTCGGTTTCACAACGCAGGCCCCACTGCTGTGCTCCCCCCACACAGCCCATCGGCAGATATTCTCCCGACCGTGTCGCCATCGCTCGCTGAACTCCGGTGGAACTGTGAACAGCCCCGAAATTGCTGCCGAACAGGGCTCGGCGAACGCGACCACCGCCGCCTCCATCAATGGAACGTGAAGAACGGCCCGCAACGAGACTGCAGTCACCAGAGCCGCCAGACCGTGGGTGGATCTCGTGATCCGGCGCTTTCCACGCCGCCGCCGCTTCGCGGGCAACATCATCGACGTTCGCCAAGCCCCTGGCACGGAGCCTGTTGAATGGCGTCACATCACGTCCACACGCAATGTTGCGCATTTTCACCCTGCCATAGCAAAGCCGAAGTCAACCTGTCCTCGATGGCATCGCCCTGGATGGAGAAAGCACAGCCGTGGACAGGACCCGCTCACTCCAGCTGCTCCCTGGGTGGATGCGCCAGTCTTATTGATTGCCTCCCGCGAACAGCGAGATTGCTTTTCGTATTCCAAGACGGTCAATTGCCTAAAACGTTACCGATTATATAATTTTCGTTTAAAGTCGCTGTTATTGGACTAATATGTTGAGTGTATTCGTTAATTGTGCTTGTGCACCACTGCCAAAGCAGAAACATCACCGAATAATTATGTTTGTCAGTTGCTCTTAGGGTGCCACAGTGGCGAGATGTTAACTACCTCGGCTGGTATGCAAGAAGTCGTGGGTTTGACCCGGACGCCTGCTGTATATTTCGAGTTTCCATGGTCTCCCCTTGGTCGTGTGAATTTTTTTCCGGGTCCTCCGGTTTTTCCATTTTTCCATTTAAAATCAAAATGTGTTCGGAGTATTTGGCTGCTGCTATCAATTTCAATGTGCTAAGCCACTTCGTTGAGCTATCATTAGTGATAGCCAGGTCGCTTCTGAAAAACGGCTATTGTAGCTCAGCGGGCATTACCTGGTAAAATAAAAGATAGTTTAGATTTCAACGTCGCAATGTTTAAAATTCAATTGGAAAGACGCTGGAGAGATTGCAGCTTGCCCCTCTCCTGGTGAAGGGGAGAAGGGAATTTCCTGTACTCCCCCACCCTTCCCTGAGCCAATGTCCTCATGTGGAGCTCAACAGCGAAGGTGCTCCAGTCCTCCAAGAGGGTGGCGATAATTGGCTCCTCTCGCGCGGTTGATCTGTGAACGTGCCCATGTGTCACGTGCCGAATCCCAATGTCGCCCAAAGGCCCCTTCCCCCCCCCCCCCAGAAGATTTGTGCCTGGCATGGCCGTGGCTTAATTGTCGTTCTTGGTGTAATCTAAGAAGAGGTTTTACCATATTCTGGCATTAGGATGTTAAAACACCAAATAGATCCTAGATTTGAAGCTTTCGTGACTGCAAGGATTCAGCTATCGTGCTGTGACGGTTCCACCTGAAGACGGAAGCTTGTGTTTGCCTTCGAAACGTCGTGATTTTTATTTTATTTGTATAAATTTTTATTTTTTATCTACGTGACTTTACGGAAAAACCTAAGAATACCAAATAGATAACTGTTTGCAAGGCATCAAGTCTGCATTAACCACCACATACTAGTGGCAAACCATGCAAACAAAGATGCTCTGATAATATACACATTCTTTTTGTACTGTTCGACTACTGGCGTCCTCTGGTCTAACACTGGTAGTGAGACTCGGCCATCAAGAAGGCTGCAGTCTTTGGTGTAGGCCAATCCGTTTCAAAGACAATGCACACATAATCAGAGCATTGTGCATGCTTGCCACAAGTACGTGTGGTTAATGCAGACTTGATGCCTTGAAAAAAATGTATCTGTTTGGTGTTTTAACATCTTAACACCTGTTTTATTGCCACAAATATTCTTATTTTTCATCATTTTTGATACCGGAAAAAAAGGCCCCATAGATATTCGTGTAATCTCGTCGGTTTCCCGCTGAGCCCCGCGTGTGCCACCAGCCAGAGGAATGTGCGCTCTGCTGGCCAGCGGTGGTGGTGGTGGAGTAGCTTCCGTGTGTTTGACATTTACATTTGAGTCGGAGGTCGCAAACGGGTTTTGATTCCTTACCCGTACCCGGCCGCACCAGGGTCGCAAATGGGTACCCGTTCCCTACCCGTACCCTACCCGAAATGAGTGACAAACGGTTACTCACCAGTGACTCACGGTCTACCCGTACCCGGCCGCACCAGGGTCGCAAACAGACGAGTATCGGGTAGGGTACGGGTATCGGGTACCCGGTTGCGACCTCTGATTTGAGTCCAGTGCCGGAAGCTGCGGTGAACCTGCCGCGGCGTAACGGTTCGTAACACTGGATTTGGAATCCAGAGGTTCTCGAGTTAGATTCCATCTCCCGGTAAGGAAATTAAATGAACGGTGCGGCTTTTTGTTCTGTTTAAATCTTCCCCATCTCTTGTCAACGCGGCGGCCTATTGGCAGGTGGTTGTGTGGTGGCGTCAAGTGTGGGCACCGCCACTGCCTCCAAGACATCTCGCCATGGTCCGGTAGATCTTGCGAAGGCCCTTCCACCAGCAGTGGTGTCAGTGAGCTATTGCAGGGCTGCACCTTTGACATTTGACCAAGGCTACATCGATGTGGAAAGTCAACAGTGGTCCTATGGAGAGTAGCCCTCGTCATGGAAATGTGGAGTTGCCACTGCTGGCCCCGGTGTGTTAATGGAGATATGTGCTGCCTAATTGTTTTGTCGGGGCCGAGGTTCGATTTCCGATTGGGGTGCCTCTCTGTGTGTCGTTTCTATGTTCTCCCTCTGCGTTGCGTGGGTTTGCTCCGGGTTATCCGGGTTCCTTCCATAGCTAAAAACCCCATACAATGGAACTGGTTTTGTCCACACTTCACAATGCTGAAAACTACCTGCAATGACTCAATTGGGAGTACACAACAACAGCATCGACCACGCACCCGCTCTGGTGGCTCAGGGGTTTTAATGGGACTTGCCGCCTCGGTGGCGAGATGTTGACTACCTCACCTGGTATGTAGAAGGTCGTGGCTTCGATCCCAACCCTGACTGCCTAGATTTGGAGGTTGCGCGTGCTCCCCGGGTCCATCGGGTTTTCTCTCCACGTCTGCTATGCATCTCGACACGATAAGCTACTTTGTTGAGCGATAATTTGTGAACAAGTCGCTTCTAAAAAGAGTCGTATTGGGCCTTGCTCTGGTAAAATACAAAATAGTAAAACGTTTTCTGCGAAAACTTGGCAGGACCCTCCTGGAAACGAGTTGCGACGTTGAGAGTTTCCCTGAGTAGAAAGAAAAACGTGTAATGATAATAATTGTCCAATCTCATTGAGTCGGAATACTGCTCCATCTTCTTGCCAACGTGCCAATCACAATCCGTCTCTCCTCCGTGCTGACGAGCCACCACTGCTCTTAGGCAATGCACTCTTCTTAATTAATGTACTTCATGTTCTCTTGTCCACCGTGTGAGGCCGCTGCTAATGGCGGTGAAGTGTTTTCGGCCGGTGCAATTAGCCGCAGCTGAGAAGAAGCCATTAATTACAGACCCCTGCAATGAATGCCCTTCTTCCTCGGCGCTGTCGTTGACTACCACTGGTTACTGGGACGCTCCCATTGCATGCGAATATTCCAGCGATGTGTTTAGCAAACTAAGTAAGCAGACAGTGTCTCCTTCTAGATTTGAAGCTTTCGTGACTGCAAGGATTCATATTCTTAGGTTTTTTCGGTAAAGTCACGTAGGTAAAAAATTAAAGTTAATAAAAGTAAAATAAAAATAAAATACTTTTATTAACTTTAATTTTTTACCTACGTGACTTTACCGAAAAAACCTAAGAATATAGTGTCTCCTTCACGTATACTCTGGGTCGCGTAAGAAATCATCTTACATTGTTCATGTGCAGGCACTGGCATTGGAAGAAGACGGACGGCCCGTTTGTCTAGTTAGTTATATTCACCACAACTGACGCTCGTGATAATGCAGTTAGCTTACTTGACACCCTTTTAGACTTGGATTTTTTTAAAATAAATATAAATGAATGGAAGAATTGTGATGTATGCCCCTTGATAATACGTCAGTAATAACACCAAGTGTGTGAATGACAGTTAGCTGTAGGCTGATGTATATTTAACCGCTGATGTCCTGGTAGTTCTCGACTTACAAACACCCGCACTTACGAAGACCCGCACTTACGAACCAGCTACTATGAAGTTTGTGTTTTTGTGTTTTTTGAAACATGGACTTAAAATGCGAGCTCGCACTTGCAAAGTGAATCGTGGAACTATTTTGTTCAGTGGAGCGATCCTCAGTGTGATGTAATAAGTCAGCCTCGCGCTGGGAGTGTCTGTGTGTGTGAAAGTGAATGTGTGAAAGTGAGTGTGTGAGCGTGTGTGTGTGAACGTGTGTGTGTGTGAACGTGTGTGTGTGAGCGTGTGTGTGTGAAAGTGTGCGTGTGAAAGTGAGCGTGTGTGTGTGTGAAAGTGAGTGTGTGTGTGTGAAAGTGAGTGTGTGAAAGTGAGTGTGTGAAAGTGAGCGTGTGTGAAAGTGAGCGTGTGTGAAAGTGAGCGTGTGTGAAAGTGAGCGTGTGTGAAAGTGAGCGTGTGTGTGTGAAAGTGAGTGTGTGAGCGTGTGTGTGTGAAAGTGAGTGTGTGTGTGTGAAAGTGAGTGTGTGAAAGTGCGTGTGTGAAAGTGAGCGTGTGTGAAAGTGAGCGTGTGTGAAAGTGAGCGTGTGTGAAAGTGAGCGTGTGTGAAAGTGAGCGTGTGTGAAAGTGAGCGTGTGTGAAAGTGAGCGTGTGTGAAAGTGAGCGTGTGTGTGTGAAAGTGAGTGTGTGAGCGTGTGTGTGTGAAAGTGAGTGTGTGAAAGTGAGTGTGTGAGCGTGTGTGTGTGAAAGTGAGTGTGTGAGCGTGTGTGTGTGAAAGTGAGTGTGTGAGCGTGTGTGTGTGAAAGTGAGCGTGTGTGAAAGTGAACGTGTGTGAAAGTGAGCGTGTGTGAAAGTGAGCGTGTGTGAAAGTGAGCGTGTGTGAAAGTGAGCGTGTGTGTGTGAAAGTGAGCGTGTGTGTGTGAAAGTGAGCGTGTGAGCGTGTGTGTGTGAAAGTGAGTGTGTGAGCGTGTGTGTGTGAAAGTGAGTGTGTGAGCGTGTGTGTGTGAAAGTGATGGAGTGATGTGGTACAGGAGGACGTGGAGCTGAGTGGACTTGCCGATGACTGGTACCAGCGGTGTCAAGATCGGCCTCAGTGGAGGAGGCTCGTGAAGGACGCTACTGGGCAGTTGGAGGCAGTCGCCCTCCAACAACAACGGAGGGCGGAGGAGCGACGCTCACAACAACGAGCGGAGCGCCGGGTGGCTAAAGCACAGCAAGTTGGCACAGTAGGGGGCACAGGTGGTGCATCAGCCAGTCATCTCGGTCATCTCGGTCAGTCGACCAGTGGCACCTGGGTCTGCCCCGTGACCTCCTGCCAGCGGGCTTTCGACACTTCACGTGGCCTCAAGGTGCACTTGGCCTGGCACAAGCATCGTGGTGACGTCACCGCCACTTAGTGGCGAATGGCGGTTGTTGTTGTTGTTGTTGTTGTGTGAAAGTGAGTGTGTGAGCGTGTGTGTGTGAAAGTGAGTGTGTGTGAAAGTGAGCGTGTGTGAAAGTGAGTGTGTGTGAAAGTGAGCGTGTGTGAAAGTGAGCGTGTGTGAAAGTGAGCGTGTGTGAAAGTGAGCGTGTGTGAAAGTGAGCGTGTGTGTGTGAAAGTGAGCGTGTGAGCGTGTGTGTGTGAAAGTGAGTGTGTGAGCGTGTGTGTGTGAAAGTGAGTGTGTGAGCGTGTGTGTGTGAAAGTGAGTGTGTGAAAGTGAGTGTGTGAGCGTGTGTGTGTGAAAGTGAGTGTGTGAGCGTGTGTGTGTGAGCGTGTGTGTGTGAAAGTGAGGGTGTGAGCGTGTGTGTGTGAAAGTGAGTGTGTGAGCGTGTGTGTGTGAGCGTGTGTGTGTGAAAGTGAGTGTGTGAGCGTGTGTGTGTGAGCGTGTGTGTGTGAAAGTGAGTGTGTGAGCGTGGGGGGACACGGGGGGGAGGGAGAAAGAGGCTCGGGAGGGGGAGGGAGGTGGAGACGCGAGGGGGGAGATGGGGACACCGGGAGGAGGTTGTCGAGACGTGAGGAGGCACGAGGAGGGAGCGATGGAGACGTGAGGTGGGAGGGGGAGGAGGAGGAGACACGAGAGGGAGGAGGCGGAGTGCCCAGTGAGGAGCTGCTCCTGCTGCTGCTGCTCTGGGTGCGCCACTTATCGGCGCTGCTGCTGCTGAATCTGAGCGCTCCGCTCCGGGTGTCCGCGCCGCGTCCATGAACTCAGCAGGTACAGCGCCTGCTGCTGCTGCTGCTCCTGCTGCTGCTGCTGCTCCTGCCGCTGCTGCTGCTTCTGCTGCTGCTCCTGCCGCTGCTGCTCCTGCTGTTGCTCCTGCTGCTCCTGCTGTTGCTCCTGCTGCTGCTGCTGCTGCTTCTGCTGCTGCTGCTCCTGCTCCTGCTGTTGCTCCTTTGCTGCTCCTGCTGCTGCTGCTCCTGCTGTTGCTGCTGCTGCTGCTGCTCCTGCTGCTGCTGCTCCTGCTGTTGCTGCTGCTGCTCCTGCTGCTGCTGCTGCTACTGCTGCTGCTGCTCCTACTGCTGCTCCTGCTGTTGCTCCTGCTGCTCCTGCTGCTGCTCCTGCTACTGCTGCTGCTGCTCCTACTGCTGCTCCTGCTGTTGCTGCTGCTGCTCCTGCTGCTGCTGCTCCTGCTGCTGCTGCTACTGCTGCTGCTTCTACTGCTGCTGCTGTTGCTGCTGTTGCTGCTGCTACTGCTGCTGCTTCTGCTGCTGCTTCTCATGCAAGGCTATGGTGTGAACCTATTGGTGTGAAGGTCTGAAGGTATATAGTATATACAGTATATTGTATATACAGTATATAGTATATACAGTATATCGTATAAGGTTATGAAGTGAGGGTCTGAAGATAAAGGTGTGAAAGTATGAAGTGAGTGAAAGGGGTGCTATGTGAGTGTATGGCATGAGGGTGTGCTGTTGGATTATGGGGGTAAAAGTGAGACTCTATGACGCGAGTGAATGGGGTATTCGAGGGTAATAAATAACTAACAACTATTTATTTTAGCAGGTAATACCCACTGAGCTATATCGATCTTTTTCAGATTCTACCTGTCCACAGATGATAGCTCAACGAAGTGGCTTATCGCCGTGTGGAAATTTATAGCAGCAGAAAATACTCTAAACGCGTGGTGATGTCGATTCTAAATGTGGAGGGAAAAACTGGAGGACCCGGAGAAAAATACACACGACCACACGGGGAGAGAGAGACACGCAATCTCCAAATCTACAGCAGCAGGGGTCAGGGTAGGGATCGAACCCACGACCTCCTGCACACCAGGCGAGGTAGTCAACATCTCCTAGCCACCGTGACGCTTGTGAGGGTAATGTGTGAGTGTATGATGGTGTGATAGCGTGATGGGGGTGTGAGGATATGCTGTTAGGATATATGAGTGTGCTTGGTTCTTTCGGTAAAGTCACGTAGAATGGAAAAAATAAAATAAAAATAATAAAACAATGAAATGTTATTATTATATTATTTTATTTTATTATTATATTATTTTATTGGTTTATTTTTATTATTTCCATTCTATGTGACTTTACCGAAAGAACCAAGAAGATGAATCCCTGCAGTCACGAAAGCTTTAAATCGAGATATCTGAGTGATTGTTGTGATATCGTCACCACGATACGACGATTATCGCGATTATTGCGCGTGGCCCGTCAGCCTTGTAAGGGGGCAAGTGGTGTCCGGTGAAGACTCGGCACGCGAGGCTGTCGAGTGGCCGGCACCACGCCCGCCTTTGTCTGTCCCACCACAGACGTTTACGCACCAGGCACTGCGCTCGTTTAAGGCCGAGTCGACGTAGGGGAGGGCCCCCCAAGACCTTGTGCGGATGTTGGTCTCGGTGCCGTTGTTGGGGGTCGTGAGCGGGGATCGAACTCGGCTCGTCGGGGTTCGTGGCGCGCACGTGGTCACTGGTTTGAACGAGGGCTCTTTATCTTCTTGGTTCTTTCGGTAAAGTCACGTAGAAGGGAAATAATAAAATAATAAAAATAAAACATAATAAAATAATTCTCACGACGTTTCGGCCACAACGCAAGCAGCCGTCCTCAGGTGAAGAACAGGTCTGTCGGGAAGACAGCGTCTGAATGAGCTACTTTACTTGCATCGTGCGATTATAGCTTCACGTGATGTGTCTCGCCATTAGTCTGTGCAGGAAATCATGATACAAAGGGTTAACTTGATTGGTAATTAGTGCGCAGCTAACTGTACAAAACAATTGTATTTATAACACTATGTAACATGATTTTTGTCCCTGGGTAGTAAGTGTTATTTTTAAATTGCTTATGCCTAAAAAGGTATAGGCAATGGCGATTATTCCCCACATTTTTCCTGAAGAAGACGACGGCTTGTGTTGCGATCGAAACGTCGTAGTTTTTTATTATTTTTTTTGAACCTATCTACGTGACTTTACTGAAAGACTCAAAGAATATGAATTCATGCAGTCACGAAAGCTTTAAGTCAAGATTCCCCACATATTTAGCTTTTGTGTCCAGGACTTTATGTGAAGGAATGACACAAATGCACACCACGTTTTCTCATTGAAAATAGGTACATTTTAAAATATCAATGTCCTCCATAATAGAGGTTTTTGGGTTAGATCGCGTAAATATATGAATGTGTCGTTAAAACCCGCCACCACCCGACACAGCCAACTAGTAAGGGTTGTCACGTAAACAGAACGTGGCCAATTCTTCACTAGTACAGCACTAGTGTGTAGTGTATAGTGTAGTGCATAGTAGTGTATAGTGTAGTGCATAGTGTAGTGTACTAGTACAGCACACCAGTGTGTTGGGGAGCCAAGCCACAACATTTACAAACTGAGTACGACGTTTCGCCAGTAATTACAACGAGCTTCATCGGGCAACAGCCAGATTTGTGGAGAAGTCCACCTGTTTCGTTCCTTATATCAAGGCGTAGATATGTGGACCACCCTTCTGCGCTCTTGCGCAATGTGACAACCCTTACTAGTTGGCTGTGTCGGGTGGTGGCGGGTTTTAACGACACATTTATCTGTTTACGCGATCTAACCCAAAAATCTCTATTATGGATGATATTAGTTGCGAAAGTCCACGTATTAAATATCACTGTCCTGGTCACAAAAGCAAAGTTTGTGGGGAATAATAGCCATTTTCTGTATTTTAGAGGCATAAGCAATTAGGAAATAACACTTACTACCCAGGAACAAAAACTAATTTTGTTACAGTGTTATTAATATGAACTTTACGACTAATTCATGTTTCGGTCTCGATATAATGCTTCAACAAATTAAACGAGCGCGGATAATCGCGACGTTAGTTCACAAAGCGTACCCGTAGGATTCTCGTGGTCCCCGATCTTACGACGGTGTATTCCGTGGTGTCGCTGTATCGTGTAGAACCTCTCGTGGTGGTGGTGGCCGGAGGGAGGGAGGGGGGTGTTATAGGTGATGGTGCGATTCTTGATTCCGCGGGCTGCGTGATGTTCTATTAGCTACCATGTTTGTTTACATTTTAACCAGGTAAAGCCCACTGAGCAATATAATGATTTTATTCAGAAGCGACCTGGCCACAAATGATAGCTCAACAAAGTGGCTTAACGCGAGGTGGTTTATAGCAGTAGCCAAATACTCTCAATGGACGTTGATTCTAAATGTGCAGGGAAAAACTGGAAGACCTGGAGAAAAGTCCACGCGACTACGGGGAGAGAGAGAGAGACACGCAAACTCTTTAGGAGCACGCCGATTGAGGCGACATCCATCCTCCTGTAACCGCTCGATGGTGGCTGCCGACTGCCCGTGCGTAATCCAGAATTGGGGAGGCAGTGGAGGATTTTGGGTTGATGGCAGAAATGTTGTGACGCTCCCATTTCTGTGCGGGCGTCTCGGAGGTGCTTATTCTCTGGCTTGCCAAGAGGAAGGCAGTACAGCAAGTGGGAACTAGTCTCCATCTGTTCCGATCTGCATGGGATAGAGTGTTGCCCCCTTCCACGTGTGGGTGTTTTTGTTGTTGCCGGGTGCTCCGGATCCCTTCCAAATGTAGCGACATCGTTGGATGTCACTTTGTGAAGCCGACCTGGGAGAGGCACGGCGCGCGGTGAAGGTGGATGCACGCAGCCCGGGGTGTCAGCCCCTACAGGATAGAGTGGAGGTGTCAGCCCCTACAGGATAGAGTGGAGGTGTCAGCCCCTACAGGATAGAGTGGGAGGTGTCAGCCCCTACAGGATAGAGTGGGAGGTGTCAGCCCCTACAGGATAGAGTGGGGGGTGTCAGCCCCTACAGGATAGAGTGGGGGGTGTCAGCCCCTACAGGATAGAGTGGGGGGGTGTCAGCCCCTACAGGATAGAGTGGGAGGTGTCAGCCCCTACAGGATAGAGTGGAGGTGTCAGCCCCTACAGGATAGAGTGGGAGGTGTCAGCCCCTACAGGATAGAGTGGAGGTGTCAGCCCCTACAGGATAGAGTGGGAGGTGTCAGCCCCTACAGGATAGAGTGGGAGGTGTCAGCCCCTACAGGATAGAGTGGGGGGTGTCAGCCCCTACAGGATAGAGTGGGAGGTGTCAGCCCCTACAGGATAGAGTGGGGGGTGTCAGCCCCTACAGGATAGAGTGGGAGGTGTCAGCCCCTACAGGATAGAGTGGGAGGTGTCAGCCCCTACAGGATAGAGTGGGGGGTGTCAGCCCCTACAGGATAGAGTGGGAGGTGTCAGCCCCTACAGGATAGAGTGGGAGGTGTCAGCCCCTACAGGATAGAGTGGGAGGTGTCAGCCCCTACAGGATAGAGTGGGAGGTGTCAGCCCCTACAGGATAGAGTGGGAGGGTGTCAGCCCCTACAGGATAGAGTGGGAGGTGTCAGCCCCTACAGGATAGAGTGGGAGGTGTCAGCCCCTACAGGATAGAGTGGGAGGGTGTCAGCCCCTACAGGATAGAGTGGAGGGTGTCAGCCCCTACAGGATAGAGTGGGAGGTGTCAGCCCCTACAGGATAGAGTGGGAGGTGTCAGCCCCTACAGGATAGAGTGGGGGGGTGTCAGCCCCTACAGGATAGAGTGGAGGGTGTCAGCCCCTACAGGATAGTGTGGGAGGGTGTCAGCCCCTACAGGATAGAGTGGAGGGGGGGGGGTGGTGCCAGCCTCGGAACGGGGTTCCAAGAGGCCATGGCACTATGATTGACCCCGGAGGACACGTGACCGTAGGTGTCCACCCCGAGACCCCCAAAAGGGGGGTTGGGGGGACCACGTGTCC